GCAAATCCTTTGCAAACTTTTTCTATCTGGCTCTGCTTTATGTAGCTCTGATCTAGCATCTTCTGCAAATCCTCTCTGTACCAAAGTGAAATTCCCAAAATTATAATTACAAAAGTACAAAGAAATAAATCAACCATGAAATAGCGAAAAAAGATAACTCTCCATGTTTCAATTTATGTGACACTAAAATAAAGAAATTTAGGTTACGAAACTCAAACTGTATCACACAAATTAGAACACAGGGAGTATATAATACGCTTGATAATAGTAAGTTTATCTCTATTGAACCATTGGAAAGGAGACGATCAATGAGATTATTGAGAATATCTTTGGTATATTCAGGATGGCCTTGAATGCCTAAAATATGATCTCCAATTGTGAACATTTCTACTCTTGTCTTGTCTGAACATGCCATCACTTTAGCTTCCTTTGGCACCTCCCATACCTGTCCAATTTTGTTTCTCCACATTGTCATATATTATATATATTTTCCAACTACAATTTCTCACTGATACAAAGATGGTCGTAAATTTCGTATTCAGTTAAATACTATCATATAAACTGAGACAAAAGAAAGAAAGTATAATTTTTCACGATACGAAGAAAGTCGTAAATTTAATAATAAGTCAAATATTATCACATAAATTGAGACAAAGGGAGAAAGTACACTTTTTCACTGATATGAAGATGATCATAAATTTCTTATTCAGTCGAAGATTGTTATATAAATTAGGACGAAGAGAGTAATATATAGAGATACCTCATCTTGGTGGCACTCAATGATTGAAAGTGTAGATGGAGTTTCATTCAAATCATCAAGAAATGTATTATACGTTAGGGATTCCTTCAAAATACTCACTTCCCTTATTCCAATGTCCCAACCACTATCAGCCTTCCTAACATCTCCTCCCAAAGCTCTGCACAAAACCTGTATGTATATGTAAACACTGAACCATATCTTAGTTTTCAAAATATATACACTATAGGTGATTAATTAACTTGTTAAATCAAGGTAATTATATACAAATCTCTATGATAAATATTAACTAGCTAGTAACTTCTCGTACTATAACCTACTACCACAAGTTTGAAATTTACTCATAGTGTAAAAAAAATTACGATATCAATGTGTATATAACTTAAATCTTTTTCTAAGTTATATATTACAACAACAATAACAATAACAACCTAGTATAATCTCTCTAGTAGGGTCTGGGGAGTAGTGGCGGATTCAAGATTTTAAAGTTATGGGTGTTGATCGATAAAAATTTCAAAAAAAGAGAAAAAAGAAATTTAATTGTGGGTGCTCACTCAATATTTATCTACATAATTTTATAATTGCCTATGCAAATTTACTATATATGATTAAAGGTAATGGGTGCTTAAGCACCCACAAATGCCAATGTAGATCCGCCACTACTGAGAGGGTAGTGTGTACGCAGACCTTACCCCTACCTTGGGGTAGATAGACAGGGTCTGGGGAGGG